CTGTTAAAGCATTACGAAATTCTGCACAAGATTGTTATTCAGCTGAAAGTGGAATACCAAATTGGGGTGCAAGAAATATTCAACAGTAAGTTTTTATAATAAATTAATCAAAACTAAAACAAAAAAAAAACCTGTCATCTTTCTAGTATACGTCGATTTGGTTCTCGTACAAATAAAGATATTATTAATCAAAATGATGATGATGATGATCGACCATCATCATCATCATCATCTTCTATTGTTCGAAAATCAAATCCTCAAATTTCAAGTGCATCAAGTAATTTACTTAAAGATATTCGTGAACGAAAACGTGAACAATCAGATTTTATTGTACATACAAATAGACAATCAATAGAAAATGATGAAGAAAATCATACCAATGATGAAGGTTTAAAATTAATACGTGAATTAAAAGATTATTTAAAAATTGGTACATCTATTCATGGTAAAGCAACAACAGGTGAAATTATTGATCATTTTCAAAATCGTCTTAATGGAAAACCTGGTCTTATACCAAAATTTAAATCATTATTAAAACAAATAGCAAATCTTGAACGAACACCATCTGGAATTGGTTATTGGATTTTAAAAGAAGAATTTCGAGAAATATAATTTCGTTTATTGTTTGTTTTTTTTTAAATTGTAATCAGGCAAAAACTAGAATTTCTTTTTTGTTTTTTTATTTGTCTCAGATATAAACTATTATTTCGAACTTTATTGAACAATTGTAATATAGAATTTATTTAACTTATTTTATTCATTTCAGATATGTCTGCTGATCGTGCTGGTCGAGCAGAAATGGGTAGGTTATATTTTTAGATAAAAAACAAAAAAATTTTTATTTTATAGAATAAAATAAAATTTTCATTCTATTTCAAGTTCGTATAATATTCGAAATTAAATAAAAAAAAGAACATCATGGTAGTATAATATCAACTGATGTTTGATTAAAATTTGCTATTGAAATTGCTTTGCTTATTAGGAAAATTTGTTTTATTTTTTTTTTTATTTTTATAGTATTTAGTTAAAATTATTATTTATATCTATGGGAAATTTATTTCATTTTAGCCGACAATGCATTGATTTTTATTTTTCTTATTATTCACTTTTGATATTTTACTAGAGAAATAGATTTAAATTTTTAAAAGTTCAATGTATATAAAAGATTTAACATAACACTGGAATCAATCGGTTTTTGTCCTGGTTTAAAAAAAAAATTGTGGTTTTAGTTTCACGCTTAGTATTAGCAAATATGGTGAACTTACAAGAGAACCTCCCGAGATGCTAAAAAGCTTTTAAGCTCAAATTTTGTCTACAAGTAGAGGATGTATAGACCCGACCTCGAAACGGGCCGCCCGGTCTGATGATTTTATCCTTTATTGGCATAACTTTTTCTGAGATTTAGTTCATTCCTGAGGGGGAAGCTTCTCCGCACCGCCCCCTTCCCCTCCTTGCTCATCACTTTTTATAAAAGCCGAAAAATATGAAATAGTTGTCTATTGAAAAAAAAAATCTTTGTAAACGAAGTTTCTTTTGGGCCCGGTATAGACGAGAAAAGTCCTAAAATGATATTGGCGCAAGTTGCGATTTGGCTGAGATATCGACTTTTTACTATAATTCTCCTGTAGGAGCCCGTTTTTCCGGTAAAATCAAAGATTCGAATTTTGGCCTAAAACTTTGCCTACATGAAGATCTCTACTAGACTAGCTTGCCTGTAAAGTTTCAGAAATTTTGGACAAATCATTTCTGAAATAAGAAATTTTTCAAAATATCCATGCGTAACGCAATATGCCTACAAAAATGTCTTGATGTTAATAGACTCATATCTTAGAGATGATTTACCCCAATAATTCTGAAACTTTGATTTTACCCGAACAATGAGCTCTTCCAGGAGAATTATAGTAAAAATTCGATATCTCAATCAAATCGCAACTTGCGCCAATATCGTTTTAGAATTTTTCTAGTCTATACATTTCCTACTTGTAGACAAAACTTGAGCTCAAAAGCTTTTTAGCATCTCGGGAGGTTCTCTTGTAAGATTAACATAATTTTATCATGTGTTTATCGTTAGTTTATACGTGCACGTCGAAATCAGTGCATCCCTGATGAAAATAGATCTTGCCAAGGAAGACATCAGCCTGTGGGATGTTGATTAAACTCCTATTTTTGTTGATCAGTAGTATTCAGTCAGATTAGTTGAAGCCTAAAAGAATTTAGACCCATTCCTTAAGTAGAGTTATGACTACTTGGACAGATGTACATAGAAATCTTGTTCATAGACAGGTTTCATAGTCATTAGAATATTCTAAAAATTTCAGTTCTTTTATGTGAAATATTAAACATTCATTTGAACTGTAATAACCATGAGAATTATATACAGACGAAATTTCAAATGACAGATTACCATGAATATATAACCTATAGAAGCCTCACATTCCAATAAAACACTCATAAATCTGGCTAAATAACGCACACATTCAAATTCTCTTCGCCTTGAATTAGTCTAACTGAATTCTTCCTATGACATTAATAAAAACTTAATCGGCATTTCTTCAACATTGAATCCGTCAATGTTAAATGAAAACTTTTGTATTCATTGAACTTTACATATTATTATTATGAATGAAAATTAAGCGACTGAGTGACTATAAATTCTATATTTAAATGCTTTCAGAACAAAAAAAAAAGAATATAATATGATGATTTATATATAAACATAATGATGATTAGATTATATTCTCATATAAAATTTTGTTTTGATTTTTTTTATAGTAATTCTTACCGGTAATTCATATCCAGAATTAGCAGAAAATATTTCAAGGTATGTTGTTTTCTATAATAATTTCATCTTTTCTCTTGTTGTGGATATTAACTTACCACTAAATAAAGTTTGATCCATCACAATTAAAAAATATTATTTTACCTTGCACTAATTTATTTTTCTCTCTTATAGAAAAAATTTAATACACGTGTGGATGTGTGTGGTGTATGTTGATTTTTTTGTTCTTATTATTATAGAATTGTTCATTCTTACAAAGCAGACAGTATTCAGTATGTATTCTATATTTTGAAAAGAATATATTTTTGCATTTGTTTGTGTTTGATATATATATATATGTGTATTTATGTTTTATTTATTGTGATTAGCTTTTCTTGTGTTAAATAATTATAAATATCCATTGCTTTCTATTTTAGTCGTATTAAACCACTGGGTGAATGTGTTGTTTTTAAAAATTCTGATAAAGGTAAATTAATAACACAAAAAAAAAAAGAGCTTGAAACTTTTTTTTTGTTTTGTTTTTTTTTTTCTAAATAGAAACTCATGTTGAAATTCATGAATCAGTTCGTAGTAAAGATGTATTTATAATTCAAACAGGTTCAACAAAGTAAAAATAAATAAATAAATAAATATTTTATTTATTAATTTTTGATTTGATTTTTATTTTAGAGATCCAAATGATAATCTTATGGAACTTATGATAATGAGTTATGCATGTAAAACATCATGTGCAAGAAATATTATTGTAAGTTTTTGAATATTTTATATATATATATATATATAATTAATAAATTATATATTTCAGGGAGTTTTACCTTATTTACCTTGTAAGTTTATATAAATATAATAATAATAGAAAAAATGAATTTATTAATTTATTTAGATAGTAAACAAAGTAAACAGAATAAGCGTGGATGTATTACAATGAAACTTGTTGCTCAAATGCTTGTTAAAGCTGGTTTAACACATGTTATAACTATTGATTTACATCAAAAAGAAATTCAAGGATTTTTCGATATTCCAGTTGACAATTTACGAGCATCATCTTTTCTTATGGATTATATTAAAGAACAAGTACGAAAAGAACTTTTTTTTTTCTTATCATAGAAAAAAATTCGATAAATTTTAGATTCCTGATTGGCGTAATGCTGTTATAGTTGCACGTAAACCTAATCAGGCTAAACGTGTAACAGGTTTTGCTCAAAGATTAAAATTAAATATTGCTGTTATACATGGTTGTCAAGATCAAGAAGGTGAAATTGAAGAAACAGATGGACGAAATTCACCACCACCATCATCATCTTCTGGTTTAGTTAATCCTATATCGATGTCAGCACGTCGAAGTGTATTTACTGTTCCTTCACTTGCATTAGGCGAACGTAATTATTATCAATATTTTTATATACAATTCTAATTATTTATAAGCTGAAAACAAAAAAAGAAAAGGGCAACAGTTAAGCTATTGTAATGTTTTATTTAATTTGAGTTTGGTCTATAAAAACGATACTTTCCTATATGAACATATTAGTTTTACTTTTCTTTAAATAGAACAAATCTATAATAAAAAAAAAAAATTTTTCTTTTCATTATAGAAATTAATGTCAAAGGTAAATTACCAATGGATGTTGTCGGTGATGTTAGTAGTCGAATAGCTATAATTGTTGAAGATATGATTGATGATGTACCTGGCCTTGTACAAGCTGCTGACATACTTTCTGATCGTGGTGCATATAAAATCTATGTACTTGCAACACATGGTTTATTTACATCTGATGCACCATTATTAATTGAACAATCACGAATATGTGAAGTTATTGTAACAAATACTGTACCACATGAATTTGCTAAACTTCAATGTTCAAAAATTAAAACAGTTGATATAAGTTTACTTTTATCCGAAGCTATACGTCGTATACATAATCAAGAATCAATGAGTTATTTATTTCGTGATGTTGAACCGAATGATTAGAAATTTAATTTGTGCAAATTTTCCTTCTTTATTTTGACATAATTTATAATGAAAAACCAAAAAAAACAATTAATTATTCTTCATAGTATAGTAGAGAATGAATTAAAAATATTCTTGCTTGCTGTGTTTCTTTTATATAAACAACAAAAAAAAAATTCATTCTATAAAAACTATTTATAATAAACAAATATTTTATTTATTTTTTTTATTTAATAAAAAAAAAAAAAAACATTAACTTAAATTTTACTTGATTTAATACTTTTGTCTATTATGTTTAATTTTTAATGAACCAAATCTTGTTTGAGCAAATGTTTGTATTGATAAAATTGGTGTTGATATGGAATTTGACCATGTTGAAAAATCAGAAATAATTATTGGTGATAAATTTATAAGAGTATCATTTGATTGAATAGAAACAATCGATTCTATTTAAATAATTTTCATTTTCTATTATAAGATATAAAGAAAATATCTTACTATGATGAGAAATTTCATCAGTATCACTTGATGATTCACTATGTTGTATTAAATTTTTTTCATCTGCATATAAAATTTGAACTAAAATTAAACATATACATATTCGAGTTATTTTTCTTAAAAAAAAAAGTAATATCTACTTGGTCCTTTTTCTCCAATACGATATGATACTTCACCTGGATCAATCCAAATAGTAAGATCATTTGGTAATGAATCGAGTATTTCTTGTAAATCCAAACTAACATCAATAGCAGCATTAATAAGAATTTTATCAATTTTTTCTTTACTAATACGTATTGATCGATATGCTGAACCTTTTGTTGGTCTTTCTGGATACCAATGATCTTGAAATTTAATATATAAATATTTTTGCATTTGTTCACCAAGCATATTAACTCGACTGAAAAGACGAATTCATAGAAAATTTGTTTTTTGTTCTATTCATAATACGTACCGACGTGGTAATTTATTATAAAGATAATCAATTAAAAAATTTAATGCAATTGATATTTCGAATTTCATTTTATAACTAGAAGAAAAAAAAATAAAAATATGTATTATACAAATAATTTTCTGTTTTTTTTTTTTCATTATTGGCATGTTTCTAGTTCGAATAGTTGATAAAAATAGAATTATAAATATTGATTTCGATGTTCTGTTTATGATGATAGAAAAAAAAAAAAAATGAGACATAAAGAAAAAAAAAGAATTGATACTATAGAATAAGTGTAATCTTAATTTACGGACAACTTTCGTTTGTATTATGGACTTTTTCTTTTTGAATCAGTACGAGAAAATAACTAATAATATGGACATTCATCGTCATGGTTTTAACAAGCAGCTGCATTTTTTTCTTTAACCTTGATAAATATATAGCAGTGTGAGTATAATATTTTTTTTTTCGCACTTACGTAAAAATTCAAACGATTAAGTTTATTTACGTATATCTTTTTTTTTCTTGTGAGTACAAATTATATGCATAATGAAATTTTTATCATGGCAATTTTTGCTATTGTTCTACTCGTCTATCGATCATGAAAAGTTTCATTTCTGTTATTTCTAATAATAAGAAATTAACGAATGAATAATGCACATGTAGACTTATAAAAATATATGTAGGTAGTAAGAAGATTAATATCAGATAAAACACAAAGCAGACTATCCTATGATAACTAGATTTTTTTCTTGCCATTCTACTAATGTAGTTTCAATCATTCTTATTTTCTTTTTCTTCTTGTATAGGAAAAAAAAGAAAACAATACTAATATAATTTCTTGTTTGCTGAACGTGATCCTCTATAATAATATTTGAGTATTTTCGAAAGTAAAAAAGAAATGCTGTACTCTCGTTAATAGACCTGCCATAAAAAGAGGTAAGTAAGTTTCTTTTTTAACGTTATACAACACCTTTTTTTTTTATTTTCTATATCTAATTAAGATTCTCACACATATTTTCATTCGTCATGTTCTTTTTCAACATGAACAAGAAACAAGACGTCATCATCAAGCAATAGACATTTCGAAGTGTTATTATGTAGATATCTCAAGCGATATGTCACTTTCTATATTAATCAAACATCTGTACTATTATCATTAAGATTTCAGTTCATCACGCAATCTTTTTGTTCTCTAATAAAATCTATAGAATAGATCTTTGAAGGTTGTAATTTGGATTAAGAAAAATAATATAAATTCTATCTCATGTTCGATGTATCGACTGAAATAAGAAACTATTTTTTTAATTTATTAGATCAGGAGAAGAAATAGAACTGACAAAATATTTCGATTGAAACTGAATAGAAAAATAATATTCATTCGACATTTTGTAGAGTATATTTGTTTTTGTACAAATGAGTTAATCGGAATAGTGATAATCAATATACAAAAAATAGGCTAAAGGCAAAACTGTGTACACACACATATCTTTGTTTTCGATCTTATTCAATTATTTTTTTTTCATTGAGACACAACTTTAAATCATAAAATAATTTTTTTTTCCTTTTGTTTTTAATGAAAATTTATGAATCATTTTTTATCTTGATAAAAAAAGTTCAATTTTTCTACATAATGTATTTCATTTGTTCTTTTGATTGAATTCAAAAAAAAAAATTGATATTAAAAAAAAATATACAAATACGTAGAAAGAAATATTGTAAAAACAAAAATATGAGAAGGATAATACAAAAAAAAAAAAATATATATATATATATAAACTTGACATACGGATTGTATTTTAATGAGTTAAATGGAAATATTAAAGATAACTTGTACCAATAACATTTTGACGATGTGAATTACGTTTTGATTGTCCTTCTCTGGAAACATTACTTTGATTGAAATTATATACATTAGATGATGGTGGTGAGAAAATACCATTTCTTGGTACAGATGATGAAGGAAGATGAGTCGATTGAATAGGAACTGAATGTTGTGGAGAAATATATTTATGTACGTTTACTGAATTTGGATATGTATGTTGATGATGAACATGATCGAAACCATTCATTGGTTGTGAAATACCTTAAAAATTATATATTTGAGTTTTGTTACACAACATATTTAGTTTAATGCAATCATTTGATTAATATTTTTCTACTTAAGGTAGATGAATCCCGATCAAAGACTGTAAAAACTGATAAGACAATAAAATCTGATGGGAATTCGAGTGCCGAAATCATTAATAGGTTTGATGACATTCATGTAAAAGGCTATAAGATTTCACTGAATAACTTACTTGTTAACTCTTTTAGTCAAGTTTTCGAAAGCTTCATTTCATTTTGTTCTGTTTTCTCTTAAGTAAAATAAAATGTCCGCAAGTTCAGATATACATTGTACCAGAAGGTCGGATTCAGTGTGATTTAATCTTCTCTTCTAACATTTTCTCTTGAATGTATTGTTCTTACAGACATAATAGTTAATAGTGTGCTGCAAGAAGCCTCAAAAGTAAGAAGCTGTACCGAACACGAAACGAAACTTGAATTCGGTGCATACTTACGAGGATGAGACATACGTGGACATGCGCATCTCTCTATATATAGGGGTGTTAAGTGAATTACATGTAGTTATTCTAATGTAAACAGAGAATGGATTTTGATCAAGTTTGAGTAAAAATTCTTGATGCCGATGAATTCGTATCTCCAACTACTATCGGTACCAGAAATCTGGGGGTTTTAGCATTCAATAGAGAACGAAAAAGGGGCATCCAGAGATCTCGATTTTCATTGGTCCGAAAATTGACCAATCAGGTGAATTTTGTCAATACAACTTTTGAGGACGAGATGCAAGGTCCACATTCCTAGCATATTTCGTTCAGGAAATATGAGGATTTTCTAGAGATCGTGGTTTTTGGATAGCGAGCCTTGGATCACTTTTAAAAATGTTTGGAAAGTGGTAATCGACCATACTGAGTCCAGTGGCAACATTCACTTTTTGTTTCAAAGTAATCTAACATCTATATACAGGATTTTCAAAATATCGGTTGTTTCAATACTGTAGTGTAAAAATTTGAAGTTTCTAAAACTCTACTACAGGGATATTGGATCGTTTTGAAACGAAAAATCAATGTCGCCACTGAGCTCAGCATAACAGATTACCCTTTTCCAGATATATTTTCCAGTGATCAGAAGCCAACTATCCAAAAAGTCAAGGTTTCTAGAAAACTCTTATATTTTCTGAATGGAACATGTTAGGAATGCGGATCGATAATAGTTCTATTGAACTAATATTTTTAATCGGGAAAAAAAAAATTTCAAATCGAATTTACCAGAATGTGTTGACATATAAGAACCATAAGGATAAACTTGTTGTTGAGATCGATTTTCTCCTCCATTAATAAATGGTTGATTATATGATGAATGTACTAAACCATTAATACTACTATTATTATGAACTTGTTGAATCCATTTTGAAATTGAATTTTCAAAACTACTTGGAAGTTGATATGGATGATGATGATGTCCATTTAATTTATTTGACTGTGTTTTAATAAAATCTGATGATGTTGATTGATCTGATGTCAATATAGTTCTATTAACTTTTTCTGGTATATTTTTTGAAGAAAGATGATGATTATTTGATGTAGATTGTTTTTGACGATTTGATAAATTAATATCAGATATTTGATTATTTGGATTTGTTATTCCAACATGTAAATTTGATTGATGTATTGATTCAATTCGTTTTTTATTTAATATTGGTGATGTTGATTGAATTTTTGATATTATATCATTTTTATTTGATCGATGCAGTTTAAATGCACTTTTACCATGTTCATGATGAATATTAGTTTCTGTTAAATGATTAATAGGTGCAGATTTTGGTATTGATGGAATTATTACAATTGGTTTAACAATTTTATGTGAAGATTTATTTTGATTATTAAATAATATTTGTTCTTGTGGTATTGTTTTAAGATGATATTGATCATAATTTTGATTTGTTTGTTGTTCAATATTATGTTCATCTTTAAATGTAAGATTTTGATTTGATGGTGGAACAAAACGAAAACGTGGCCGTGATGATGATTTATCAATAGATGTTAAATCAATTAAACTAGCACTTGTATTATTTGCTGTTAAATAATTTGTTTTATCAATTAAAACAGATAGACGTTCATGACGTGGAACATTTTTTGATGATGATTTTATTAATAAATCATCTGTTGATGTTGCTGTTGTTTGAAGAATTTGTTGACGAGAAATTTTTTCTCTTGTTATCGGTTTTATTAATGAATTTATTTGATTAAGATTAGTTTCTGATGTATGACGACGAACATTATTTATATAGTCATTTGATGTTATTTGTTCAAAATGATGAGGATGAATATTTTCAAATTGATTAGAATAATAAGCTTGAGTATGAGCTGGATCTTGATAAGTTGTTGTTTGAGCAGATTTAACACCCTAGAAGAGAAAACTTTTAATGAAACATTATTTCGAAATAATATTGCTTTAGAGGAAGAACATCTCGACAGTGTGTATTTTTCGCATAGTGTGACTTTTGTTTTTGTTCAGAAATGATTAGAAAAAAAAAAGTTTTTGAAACAGTCCAGGAATGTTTGTACTAACAGGGATTAGAGATAGAAGAACATTTTGACAAAATCTGGTACTCCCGGAGTCTACTGAAGTTCATAGAGTCCAGCGAGAATAAGCCAAGGAGAAACGGCGTAGTCCAGTACTTTCCTAATACATAGACTCAGGAAGTACAGTGGGAGTCCAGCAAGTACAAGAGTACCTTGTTTTCCTATGTGCTCCCTGTACTTCCGAAGTTCAGTTGGAGTACGTCGTTTCCTCTTGGTGATCATCCATCGTTTCGAGTGTGATAAAGAACGATTCATCCTAAAAACTACTCCGTTTTCTCAACCGCAATAAGTTCTATAGAGCTGAAGTTCTTTTTTTCTACAGATATTAGACACTATTTAGGATGCCTACTTTTTTTTGTTGGTTTCTTTTTATCGCCTCCCATTTTAATAACAAGATCAAAATACTGAGTGTACGCTTTCGAAAAATCAATGGTGCAATATTTTTCAAAACATAGAAAAAAAGAAAATTATCAGTAGGAGAATTTTTGCATGTAAAGAATAATCGAAGCACATGTCTTTCTGTTATGGATTTCGAGCATTAGATTTAATAAAATAACTCCTAACGAAGAACTCTGATTTATATGGCCTTTGGTAGAGGATACCTCGAAGCTGGTATGTGGACTCATTAAACTCTTCTCCGGACTCGAAGAAAGCTAATTTTCGTTAGAAAAATCGAAATTAGAATAAATGCATGGGAGGATAGACTGAGGTTTGATCGTTCACAAACGATACGACTTTTTCTATTGGGCATTTTGTTTTTTTGCAAGAATTTTTGTTATTTTCTGCTTAAAAACCGCATATTTTTAACCAAAAAAAACGAATTCTAGAGAATCCTCGGATAGAAAATCAATATTTTAATAGAATCTGCAATAAAATATCAAGTATATGCTATTATTTAATTAAATTCATCGGATACTTAACAACTATGACAGATGATGATTATTATTTTTATCAAAAATATTGTAAAATTTCTATTCAAAAAAAAAAAAAATTTTTCGTTTTTTCCTCGTGTCATTCAATATTCTTGGAGAGTCTTCATTGTATATATTTAATGTTGTTTTTTTTTGTTGCTTGAAAGAATACATAAAACCGCAAGGCTTGACAGAGTCTGTATTTTTCAATTAAACTTTATATTTATTATATAGAGAAATAGGCCTTAAATTGTAGAAGTTTCTTTTGCGGTATTGAACTTGTCATGCTTTTCGTTCGCGAACAAGAAAAAAACTGAAGTTTCACAATACTATTTTGATCAATTTGGTATTTCGATTAGGACTGAAGATGTGCGAAAGGATGAATTACTCTATATATCATCCTAGTCAGATAAAAGCCTATTGAGAGAATAACAAATGTGTGATATTTATTGATTACATAAATAAATAATAAGAATTCAAAAATTTTCAAATCTTCCATCAGCAAATTCAATATGAGATCGGAATCAAGACACGGACGAATATCAAAAGTGTATTTACTTTAAATCTCTGTACTTTGAATAGATAAATTTATCTTAATCTTACATAGAAATATATTTGTTAACTAAAATCTAAAGTCAAATAATGGAATTGAAGTGTATGAATTTTTTTCTTTTTAAGTTTAAAAAAAAAATAAATTAAAAAAACTTACATGAGAATTTTGTCGATTACCAATATTATTTGTAGATTTTATTTGTGAATAAGATTTTTCAATTTTATTTTCATCTGTTATATTTTGATCATATAGATATTCATTAAGCATTGAATCAAAAAAATTTAATGTTTTTTCAATTTGTTCATCATCATTATCATCAGTTTTTTGTTGTAGAAATTTACGTTTTTTATCATATTGATTTTGTTTATTCATATTTGATTAATTAAAATAAAAACAGATGAATATTATTCAATGATTTTTCACGAATAACTAAATATGAAAATAAAATTGAAATTCAATTTTACTTTTCTTGATAACTACTAGTCATATAATGTTTGTTAATGGATTAATAAAAAGACGTCCTTTAAGTTTAATATGGATATGTAGTATTAGTACAATATTTTATTGTACCTGTTATCTCGTCAATAGTTTCTAATGATTCTGTATTACATATGTGAATTTTCTCATACAAAAATATTAAAAAATAAATAAAAATTAAAGAAAAGATTTATTTATGATATTTAACTATATTGAATATATAGTGTTAATGAACAACTATCTATGAAACTGAGATTGAATATCAAATGACAACGACCTTCGTCATGAAAGTTTTTATCATAACCTTTATCTTTTTTTTTTTCTCTCTTATATGGCGTTTAGCAAGTATGTTCATTTTATCATAACATAGAACAATTCAATCCCTGGATTGGTTTATTTTTTTTGTACCGCTAAAATTATATAATTCATTAAAGATGATAGTTATGAAATCATAATTCAGAATGTCTGATGTTTGATAACAAAAAAAAAAAAACATAAACGCAGTAAATATTTGTCTATATGACTTTTTATTTTCATTGACAAGAAAAAAGAAACTTTTCTTTCGAATAGAATGATAAGAACAAAAGCATCGTAGCGAACTTACTTTATAATGATTGAAGTTAATATCTTTGATATAATACTCAATTACTTGATTGTAACTATAAGATAATAAATAATTTTAGCCTTTTTTGTCATCGAATCATTGTTAGTTATAGATATTAAATATAAAATAAGAACATTGTATCTAATATGAATATACTGAAAGAAGAACAAAAAAAAAAAAAAGTCATACATCATATTAATACGAACTAGATAGGCACAAACAAAAAGTTCAAACGATTGCTATTCACATTTCAAGATAAAAAAAAAAAGAAATACATAAAACATTTTATTCGATGGAAGTTTATTGGTGATGCATGCATACATTAAAAAGAAAAAGTATTTGCGCGAAAAAACACAATCATTTCTTTACGACTGCATATATATATATATATACCCACGATATAATCTCAGCTTTAGGGTTTTTTTACGTCCCTGTATGTATACCTCGCCTACTTCAATTTTTTTTTTTGTGTTCCTTAAAAGAAAAAAAAAAGAGAGACGTCACTCGAGTATTCTTAACTATTTGTTACATATATACATATACACATAAGAAAAAAAATATTTTGTATACATATGAAGATCGATTTCATCATCGTCGTTGAATGATATTCAAGCATCTATCTTATCCACGTGTCGATAAGAAGACGAAAAAAAAAAAAGAATGTTAAAGAGACCTAGAAATACAATGACATTTACAGTATTATTAAATATATTATAATAATATTTTACTGATAGGAAAAAAAAATTTATTAAATATATATCAGAATAATTTAATTGACATATAACAAATAAAATCGTTTATTAAACATGTTACTAAAAACAAACAAACGAATAATATAACATCGACATTTAATAATTTACTCTAATGAAAAAAATTTTTTTTTTTAATTTTATTAATCATTATTTCATTTATTGGAAATGCACAATATTTTGTTTTTGATAACTCTAAGCACTTGATCAGATCAACATCTTTTTATACTTTTTCTTTGTATCATTCATCTCAATTCAAAATCGTTTTGTTACTTTTTTTTTCATAGCTATTAATTGTATTTGTTTTTATATAATTCATTCATTTTTTTCACATATCTACAAGAGTCTCGAATTTAAAATCGTAATAACTTAATTGACAAAGAATTTTGATGAAAAATAATCGATCAAATCTTTTGAAAACAAAAACGCAATAAATTATGTTTAACAATACAGAACATTACTGCATTTGATCTTATAAATCGTTCATAATTCGTTTTTCTTATTTCTCTTCACATATTTTCAACACTTACCAAAAGAATGTAAAAGAAAAAAAAGAAAAATGACAAACATAATGGTATACATGACAACAATATCACTTATGATCATAGGAAATTTGAGAGCTTATTGTCAAAATGTAGATGCATTTGAATCAAAAAATCACATATGTGAATTTCGATGAATTGACAAGGACAATATTTTATATTATACAGAAGAAAAAAAAAACCGATACTATTTTCGAATAAAACTTCATATCGAAGTAAATAATAACTAATCAAATGATTTATTTTGTTTATCTTAAGAGAGAACTTTAAAAAACTCGGTAAATAATCGAACTTCAATTTTTTTCGTTGTCATTCGATACATATGATAATGAGATATGTTCATTGAGTCTTTAGAACGAAATACGATCTTTCGTCAATAGATTTTTTTTTACTATTTCAAAAACTATGCATAGTTCGACGTTGTATGGATGTATACATTTTGAAAATCAATACTCTATATCTACTACCAACAAAATAAATATAACTATCTAGAAAAAAATGTAGATAATTTGATTAATGATTGACTTGTATCTATTCTTGATATGCATTCTATGCAACATCGACTTTTGGAAAGAAATATTTTTCAGATAGTAAATTTTGTTTTTCTTTCTAATTTTTTAATTGACAAGTTATACGACCAGTGTAAACAGTATTACAATAAGAAATGTGTAGAATCGAGTGAAGATTAGAACGGTGAGAAAAGAAAAGGTTAACGAAACCGAAATGGGAACTAAAGTTTATCGATAAATGTTCTAATGTTTTGAGCAAATTGTCCTATAAACAATCTAACTCAATAGACTAGATAAAAAAAGACAACATTGACCGACTGTATTAATTAAATTTTGAAATAGTTTTCTCTAGATCGGGACAAAGATCGATAGTAGACATTAAAAAAAAAGAATCATCAAGACTAAGACCAGATCGGTTGTACCAGGACTATGATCGGAGCCACTAGGAAAAAACACCTCGAACGAAGACTAAGATCGCATGAGCTAGTAAGGACGTGAGTGTGGTGTAAATGAGACTTGTGTCTTCACTCCTTTCCCCACACCCTCAATTGAATGTGTAAAGATGAAGGTTAGCTATACAACATCGACATTTAATCTAAACTCTTGCAGCAGTAATTCTTTAGATTGTATAATGACGTGCAGAAATTTGAATTTCCTGGAAATTGAAATTTATCATGTACTTCCTGAGATCGGAAGTAAAACAACTTTGTCGCGTACATCTCGAATTGTAATTCTTATTCACTGATTATATTTTTTTTAAAGTCAATAAGAAAAATGATGATGCAGTTAAAGTAATGATTTGATTTAAAGTACTTCAATACATAGTTAACGAACATATTTAAACATAAATATATTTATTACCTTGGATCATGAATTTTTTTTACGAATGTAGCAATACATTCAACTAGGTTTTGCTAAGATTCTATCGATGTCGATGATTTCAATAACGATCATCGATGAAGTATGTTGTAGCTAATCGTTATGACAAGATTATTAACGTACTTAGTGGATATGACAATGACTTACTCTGAGTGATTTCGATAATGGCAGTTAACTGGATATTGTTGTTGCTAGCTTACTCAGTAACAATGTATGGGTACTTTTGGCATACACTAATGAAACCTTCGCAGAAAAAAGAATGTTCTCGACTACGGTCATTTGCTTTCGGATATGGCAATGATTTTTGTTTTGCAAATCAAGTCATCTATTCAATTAGCTCTAATTCTTGACCATACTCAGTTATCGTTGCTGATTTCAATCATGGCACTCGCCATCAGAGCTGTCTATCATGATTAAAACAATGTACATGTATTTCTTAAAAATATTAATAGCACATTTGCTGGAGCAAAGATATTTTCGATCGGTTATGGATATCTTCTGTTTTACGTTGTTGTCGGTGATTTTCTGTTAATGATAGAAAGCTGCATTTAGTTGTCCCTAACAAAGGCACTGAAAATGTAAATATTCTCTTACAAACTTGTTAGTTTTCTATATTGATGCTCGAACTTTTTTCCGTTGATTGTTATCGATCTTGACTTTGAACAGTTATTTATTTTTTGTAAGCTAATTTACGAATCCTTTCATTCATATATTTCTACCATAAGACTATGAATATAATATTACGATTGAATTTTCTCGCCAATCAAGTTGACAAATTTAGAAACCAGTTCTTTAGTATTATAAATTACATTAATCAAAAATTTCGAAATATTAATATTATTCAATTGAATCACTTGTGTGATAAATTCAATGTGAGTCGATATTTCAGAATATTGAATGCTATAATAGAATCAGCAACGAATAGAAAAATTTTCATTCGGATTCAGTTTACATAGAGTACAAAAATGATATTATGTAATTCTACACACTATCCATTTTTTTTCACGATACAAAAATTCAAGTATAAGTTCGAATTTTTTTTCAAATCTTTACTATTTGATATTGCAGGAAAGTCAAATATTTTTCAAAAGAGAGTCGTTGAGTATGTGTCACATATTAAAAAAAAGGATTATATCCGAAAAGATATTGTACAAGGTGAATAAGATAATGAAGATTCATCCAAAATACTACTAACATAAACACACACTAGAGACTAAAAAATCTGAGAAATGGAATAGAGACAATTGTTATTCTTTGTTAGCGATCGTCTTTTATACAAATCAATCAATCAAGCTTTCATATGACTTTGTTGCTATATAACAAAGAAAGAGGTCATTATAAACCGAATATATCAGAAATTATTTGATTCAGTTTCTGATGTATAATGACATTGATTAATAGAATGAACTTAGTATTTTATGAAAGAAAAAGAATGAATGTCTATCACATTCATATGATTTTTCGATCACTTTTATTTTTGGAAATTACTTAGGGTTATCCAAAAGTAGTGGGCCAGGTTCTTTTTTTTCTTATAAATAGCTAAAAAGAAATTTCTTTTTTTACGAATAGATAGAGCGTCTTTCGCTCTATCTTTCTATGCTATTTGATCACTATTCAACTGGTATCATAATAATAAAATTTCGATAAGAACTTTTTTTGTGTAACTCCAGCTGGTAGCAATAGTGCATATTATCATCCATGCGTGTTTTCTTTGTTTTTTTCTCATCATCTAATAGGTTTTATTAAAAAACAAAATACAGCACAAGATGCAGCGTAAAAAGCTCTACAATTTACATACGACCACTTTTTTATAGTTGCACTTTTTGTTTTCAAATTGGACAAAACTTTGAGCGACCAAATTTTGACCGTGCGAAAATTGGTAGCACAGAATTTTGCTTTTTTTTAAAACAATTACAATAAGCTTTACTATGTAAATTGTAGAGCTTTTCACGCTGCATCTTGTGGTATATCTCGTTTTTAATAAAACGTATTAGATGATAAAAATATGAAATAAGAAAAAAGAAATTTCTCTTTTGTGTAGAAAAAAATGATTTTTTTGCAACGGCGAAAACTGGTCGCATAGAATTTTGCTTTTTTTGAAAACAAAAAGTACACAATTAAAATAAACTGTTTTTTGTAAATTGTCGAGCTTTTCACGCTGCATCTTGTGCTGTATTTTGTTTTTTAATAAAACCTATTAGATGATGAAAACACGCATGAATGATAATATGCACTATTGCTACCAGCTAGAGTTGCACTAAAAATGTTTTTGTCGGAATTTTATTATTATGATACCAGTTGAATAGTGATCAAATAGCACAGAAAGATAGAGCGAAAGACGCTCTATCTATTCGTAAAAAAAGAAATTTCTTTTTAGCTATTTATAAGAAAAAAAAGAACCTGGCCCACTACTTTTGGATAACCCTAAGTATAATCATGGCATAAAGTAGTCAATTGTTAAATGATATTGATATTAATGTTGATGTTTAATAAGTATTCAAATACTAGAAGATAGAGATTATTTGTTGGTAAAATGAATAAAAATGAACTTTTATCGAATAATAGAGTAGGATAATATGATTTGAAGTTAATTATTTTGAAAATTATACTCAAGAAGTCTATTGTTAATTCTTTTTTTGTTTTTCATCTATTTTTTGAATTAAATCCAAATTTATTTTATAGATACTTTTCATTTAATGCAAATTGCTTACTGATAACGACAACAATGCAATCGATATACGAAGAAGAGAAGGCAATGGTGATTGAAAGCATTCTGATAGTGCAACATGATCATTCATATATTTATATCACAGCAACACATAACTTATGTCATCAAAAGTGTTTCTTACTATTGTTGTTGTCATTTGCTTAGTCCAATATCATACGGAAAAAAATAAACCGTACTTCAACGTCAATTAATGTTCTGGTCACATATAAACTCATGTTTTTCTAATATTTTTTGTGAACACAAAATTTCTTAGAAATAATAATGATGATTTAGAACCTGTAGGGTCGAAATTTTTCACATCGGAACCAACTTAGCGGGCTCTATTGTGAATATGACTCGTCTCTTCACACTTACTCAGATTGATACATGACTTCAAATCTACATCTACACTCATCATCACCATCGATAGTATAGTTTCCAACAAAAAAATATGTTTCTTTCAAAGTTACAATCAAACTAAGTTGATAGATTTTGAATTCGTCAAGATAAATATATTTTCTATGCCATGTCATTTATTGGAATCGAAATATGATAATAAGTAAAAATCAATATTATTGCTGTTACTTGTTAAATTGTGGCTTTCGATGATTGGAATAACCAAATGGTGAAACTCGTTCTTCATAATGAAGATGAGGACCAGTCGATCTTCCAGTATTTCCACTTTTAGCTATTTGTTGTCCAGCTTTAACTTTAGCACCAACTGATACCATCTTTTTACTTAAATGTGCATATAAATGTCGAATTACTTTACCAGCAGCATCTTTTGATTCAATTATTATATGAGTTCCATATGCAGCACCCCAATTTCCTGATTTAACAACACCTGCTTTTGCTGCTACTACTTTTGTACCAGTAGGACATGCATAATCAGCTCCCGTATGATAACCAGCTGACCAACTACCTTTTTTACCAAATGGTGTTGTTACCGCTCTACCAGGAGCTGGTGATACACAATTTACTTCATTCGTAATATAATAAATGAAAATAAAAATAACAATTAGACGACATAAACTGTACGTATTCGACATAGTTTTTCAACGTTTTGTCTTGAGAAAAACACAACAATAACCTAGTAGTGCCATACACATATATTTATAATAGATATGTATACATAGAACACCTGGTCCTCAAAACGAAAAGGCTTACAGAAGATTTATATATTGCACAGTTATTCGATACCCAACTGAATAGCTTTTTTTGTCGTATATTATAATCACGTGTGAAGTGCCACGTTTCAAAGATTAAATCAATTGGCGAACCGATAAGTTTGAATCAGGTATCAATAGCCAAATAGTTTTATATAAATAGCATTTATCATTAATTTCAACAAAAAAAACAATCATTGATTGACTATGAGACGAATCTTCACAAAGCTTTTTAGTATGAATATCGAATATCATTGTTTTTCAAGATTTCTATTACAATTTGTGAATTCTTCAACTACAAAGAGTTGATCCAGAAAAAAAAAATTATTTCCGATTAGAGATGGAATCGATTCGATTTAGTTCAAAAAAAAACACGAATCTATCTCATCTCTGTTTTAGATTACTATAAAAATTTTATTTGATTAAAATAAACAATCGAATAACTGTCTATTTATTACTGAGGTTTGATAAGAAAAACAATAAGCAAGAATGTACTTTTAAAAAAAGGAAAAGATTACATCTAAATACACGGTTTCGAATATCGTATATTGAAGTCAAACTATCGCATCTTTGACATGTATATACTTTTTAAATATTGCAAGAAAGAAACTATTATATTAGCAGTAAAATAAAGTTACATAATCAAATATACAGTAAGTATTTTATGATTGTACAGTTCGTATGACTTGATTATCAATGCAAAAATGAATAGTTTTGGATATGAGTGAGGTTATAAGAGACAATATGATGCTGATAGATACGGGAAAAGTAGTATAAAGATGATGACATGAATGAGAGACTAGAACAACTTACTTGTGTCTTAAAACTTTACATACTCTCAACAACATTCACACATATCGTCAGTCTCGTTACGCACATGCAGATTTTCATTCATCATTCATGAGTGTAGACGAATGAATATTTACAGTAGTGGGCGAACGTCTCTGTCCTATAATTTCATTGAAGTTCATCAACTCTCTCTAACACTGTGGCTATTTTACTGTGATTGTTAATATGAAGAAAAATCATCTAGTGTCCTTTTAAGACAAGAATACAGTAATAATTCAGTGAATAAAGTTCATTCGTAAACAAACTATGCAGTGATGAGAAAGACCATAGCTATGACGTCTTCCTGTTTCGTTATCAAAACATTGTTCGAATATGTCAAACACAATATCCTTAGAAGTTAATCGACTAATTATATCCAACCATGATAGAAAATACCAAAGAACGAAATTCTATAAATTTCCAATTGTCGACATCTTATGTTGTTTATTTATTGAAATTTATTTTATTGATTTAAAGGCAACTGTAGATTTCCCAATGATTATTCCAATGACTTACGATAATCTTTTTAAATTATCACGGAAATATATTATTAACGAATGTATTTTGAAATGATATCGATAAACGACGGATACTAGATTTTCTTGGTCATCGTCAAAGTGATTTGTTTATACATGTTAATTTTCAGAGATCGTTGATCATGATAATTCATTTTCAATAAATCCAGCTGGTGTATTTGTTTAATCAATATTTACACATACATATTTAGATGAATTCAACAGTATAAAATTGATAGCATCTGTCAAATGATCCTACAATCATAGCACAATATGTCAAAACGATTGTCTCCATATGAAATATAAACAAAACAAAACAAAAAAACCTTGTTTGTCATAACTAATAATCAATATAAATAGTGCGAAGAATAATTGTATTCTGTATACTAGGAAAGAAGAAAAGATTTTTATATTTTAATTTTTACCAAAAATTAAAAAGAAAATTTTTTTTCTAATAAATATGAATTTTTATTTTATATATTTATGAAATAAAGAATAATTAGAAAAAAAATAAAAAGAATTTCAATAATCTTAGTAAGTAACATGCAATTAGATATTATCAATTGATATTTTCTTATTTACAAATAATCAAGATTAGAATACTTAGCACCAATAGACATGGCTGTAGAATAAGAGATTGTCCCTTATTAAACCAATAATTACCACCAGTTGCATACCATCCTTGAGTTCCAGGTGCATAGTAATTGTAGGATCCAGCATAATAATTATTAGGTCTTTGCCATGGATAATTATTAGAATTGTACGTATCTTTTTGTACCGATTGTTGAAATGATGTTTGACGATTTGGATTTATAAGATAGTTACTTAGACTAGAATCAGGATTATAACTTATTGGTAAAATACCACCGTGTGGACTATTCGGAGGTCTTATAAATGAACCATAATTCGGATCGGATCCAACGCCTAAATATGAGCGAAAAAAAAATATGTACATAAAAATTATTTATCTGCAAAAATCATACGCACCATAATAGGAGGTGCCCTTAATAGAACCACTTGGATTGCTTGCCCAAGATGCTCGTTCTTCAACGGACCAAAAATTATTTTTTGAAGGATGCAATTGACGACGATAACGAGGATATCCATGTGCTATAAATACCAATATTCATATTTATTAAATTATTGTTTTTGTTTTTAATGTTTACTTATTGTTATAAAAAATATAATTACAAGAAAAAGTAAAAATAACTTTGGGAACATTTTTTTTTCATATATTAATAAACAACGGAGGCAAGATCAGGTTGTTTTGCTTCTTTTCTTTTCTTGGCAAGAACGTCAATGAAAGAGAAAAAGACTACGACATTCGTTGTAATTTTTCGTTTCTTTTTATTGCACATGTACTGTTTTTTTTCTTCCTTTTTTTTCATTCAATTTATTATGACATGTTAGGTTCACAGTTTTACAAGAGAAAAGAAAAAAAAACAGAAAGCAACAACATAAATTTTCTATCAACACATCGATTCAGTATACATAAGTATGCCTATATAAGAAGTACAAGTGCAAGAAAGAAACAAAAAAAAATAGAAATAGAGAAGTACAGCGCTGACAGAAGACAGTACTAAGCAAATAATTGAGTATATCCCTACCACAAATGACACTAGAATTTCACTGAAATTCAAATTCTGTTTTCAAAATTTTGATGTGCATCTCCCACCATCATCGGGAAGCAATAACAACAAACAAAAACAGAAATATTTGTCAAAGTAAAGAAAGAGAATGTGTTCGCGAATATATCTTCGAAGAACATTAGCTATGGTCCATTCAGCATGTTTTATGTTGAGGACATCTACATAGCTAAGTTTTACAATAATGGCTGACAAAATCATATTATTCTTTACTAATATCTTTTTTCGACAATCTATAGTAATTACTTGGTTATAATTAAATAAATGGTTAATTAAAAAGATAAGTAAGATATATATATCTATTAGATATCAATAGTCGATGCTTAGTAATATATAGTTAATAATAAACGTACTAAGATAAAATACAACACATTCCTGTGCGGTACGAAGTGCTGCTTGTTGCAACACATTTTGTCCAGCAAGGACGAGATATATTTTCATATAATACATTCATCAAATTATCTGATCGAGTTTGAATCTACTTGTGATCATATTTTGCAATCACATTCAATTAGCAAATCTTTTTCTACATATTAGTTTTTATTTTATTTCAAAACTAAATTACACATTTTAATCCATTTGATTTTTTAGACTTTCTTAATGATAATTTTTATATTATGTATTTTCGAAAGAAAAAATCAAGACGTTTTTTTAAATAGGCAATTTTTTCTGTCATATTCAACAACTACGTTTGAAGCTGTCGTACCCAGGTCCATCATTCAGGCCGTCTGAAATGACGTCTTAAAATGTCTAAAACGGTGAAAAAATGACGTAATAAATGCCCTAAACGATGAGTAGTATTATGGCAGTATTCTCATCCTATAGTGTCTTATTTACGCTGATTTTTCTCGTTTACGACTTTATATATCTTTTGCCGTCTGTCCTCAGTGAAGAGAAGCACAATATTTCGTCCCCCCCCCCTCACCTTCCGTAAACACAACAAATATTATTTATTTATTTAACTAAAATACTTACTACTATATATTTCATTGAGATAAGTCTAAATAAAAAAAATAAATATATTTATTTAAGTACAATACTTACTGTTGAATACTTCAATGAGAGAAATCTAAATGAAAAAAAATATATATACTCATTTAACCAAAACACTTACTATTGAATATATTATTAAAGTTTTCATGACGATCTCAGATATTTTACTTACCAGTAAATAATTCTTGATTGAAATATCAAAAAATAAATATAATCTCATCTTAGTTTTGACAAGACAAAAAAAAAATTTTTTTTCTTTCCGTCCATATTTTTGAATATTAGAAGGAAAAATAGATGCCAATTGTATCATAGAATGGTCAACAATAAAATGATGGCACATCTAATCTAATATGACTGAGAAAAATGTATCCTCTTATGCATATTTTCTTTCCGAACGGAACAATTCGACAAAAAATATACATTGGATTTTTTTTATTGCTCCG